GCTCGCATGTTCTACTATGCATTTCCATTCATATTGTGCTGGCCACTCACCTCTTAAATTTCCCTGTAACTGGAAATAAGAACTTTGCTTCTGTGTTGTGAGGAAGAACAGCCATTATGTTCCAAACTGCAGAGAATTTTAAACAAGACCATCATGGTATACAGAGCTGGTCTATTCACTCCCTAGAAGCCTATTCACTTCTCTGTGCTATACCTCGACCCCCAAGTCGCTGGGGGGTTTATTTTAGAACAGGCTAACTAGCCTTATGGCAAATTCGCCTCTGAGCTTCGAAGAGGAAACGTGCTGGTCCAACGCTTTCAGGATCCCAGCCTCACTGCAAACGAACTTAAAAAACACGAGTCCTGCTGTGCCCGTGTTGACAGAACCTCATTCTCTATAGGGCTCCAGTACTCACAAGGGCCCAAGTCTCTGGAGTGTCGGGAAAGGCTTAAATCCCCCTCCATGTGCAGACCGTTCAGAGCTGCTAAGGGCAGCAGGGGAGAGATGCGGGCCTGCTCTTACAGGCTTGCAACTGAGTGTCCAATGTTCACAACAGCCTCTGGATGGAGGGTGGGCCTGGGCTAATCGCCAGTCTTTAGTAATTGGCTTTCCCGCACATGGTGCAAAGCTACTGGCTAAACTCATACTGTTGCATACTGTTATCGTACTGTATTTTCCATGGATTTGTATATTAAAATTCTTCCCTGGAATCCAAGTCTTATGCAAAAGGGTGTTTAAATTATTCTGCTAGAGAACTGCAATTATTGTACTTAGTTTAAAAAAAGAAAACATTTTTAAATCACTGAACACTGTTTCTATTGACTGCTCATTTACAGCTTATTTAAATATTTACATGATTTTAGGACACTAACCTAAACCATAAATAGAATCAGCTTTTTGCCTTACATTAAAGTACAAATCAGAAGTTAAAAATGTTTAAGAAATCTGACAGTATTTACACACGTTCATTTTTAATTATGATTGCTCACATTATATGTTCTATGTACAGATAGCAAAATGTTATGACTGACTACTTTTAAAGTATTGTACCCTGGCCTTCCTGTCTTTTTTCCATAGAAATATTTCGTATTTTTGCTCCCCCCCCACCCCACGAGTATTAGGACTTTTTAAAAAGTTTCTAGTGGACAATGTTTTTACTTTTCTTTAAAAAAGAGAAGAAATAGGCAAGCAATGTGAGAGTCTATTCTGAGATGCTAGGAGGTACACTACTATTGTCATGTTAACTGTGAAATGCTTCATAAGAATTATATGCATTGATCTGCTGATATAGAAATGCCCAGTTACCCTGTATAGTAAGATTTTAAATACATTAATAATTTGCGCTCTCAAAAAAATATTCACATATCAGTTAATTATAGAAACAAAACTGTTATTAGCTTATTCCTTTTAAACACCAATATAAGAATCCAGCCCAAATCCAGGCAACCGCAAGCACTACAGAGGGGCCGCAAGCCGGAGTGGACACAGCAACACCACCTCAGACTTAGTCCCGGCTCTATCGCTCCCCAGGGAGGGTAGCAGGGAGAGATAACACTTGCCTTCGATGGCTTGAGCCTGCCTTCGTTTCCCTTCCCTGTCAGGCCAGCACCATTAACCCCCTCACTCCCTTTCTGTAGTGACCTTCTGGGCAGGCGCAGGGACGCCTGGGCAGAGCCCATGTCCCCACTGGCTTTCCTCCACGGCAAACCTCACTCTGCTTGCTTGATGTCCCTCACAGTGCAGATCGGATCCAACTGAAGATGGAGAGACTGTGGTCCCGCAACTCCACTGGGTTCCCTCTGCCTCCCATGCCTCACCCAGCACCCTGCTTCCATCGTAGCACAGCACATCCTTCCACCCCTGCATTGCTTTCACTGGATTAAGAGGCCTGTGTGCACACATACATTATATAAGCACACAGAGGAATACATAGACATATATTGGCATATCTGTCTATATACCCATTGTATTCTTTGATAATGTTCAGTGTTTTGTTTTCTTCATTTACATTAACTTCACTAACTATGAAATTGGAACATAGCTTTAGATTTTTCTAAAAAATATATATCTACTTCGGCTGTACTTTTAATGTACATTTCACCTAAACTTAAATGGGATTTGTTCCCTAGATATATCTAACATCTATCTATCTATCTATCTATCTATCTAACTACGCACTTGCTCTTATGTTTTCTATGCATTGTGCTTTTGTCTGGCAAATTCTAAGGGTATTTTTTTCTTTTTTTCCTATTAGAATATAAAAATTTTCAGGTATATCTTTCAGTGCTATTTTTCAAGACTTTACTTGCCCCTGGGGATGAGAACTGAAAATGGTCAGAATGACATTGCTTGGTTCTTTCTTCCCAGTTATTAAAACTGCAATAGTAGAGAAACAACATTCCGTAGGCAAACACAAATATGCTGCATGAATTTTAGTTTGGAAAATGCATATTAGACTTACTAGCAGTCATCTATAGAACATATTTACAGATCATTGATCGCAAAGATATTGTTAAAACTGTGCCGTATTATATAGTCGTAATTTTGCCATGAGTTTCACAACGATGAAGAGAAAACACCTTAATTGCTGGCTAGTACGCAACCTGAAACCTGGAAAAAATGGAATAATTATTACATGAAATGTGGAGCTAGCAGGGATGAGCAAGCATCTAGTTTAGTTCAATGCAAAGGTAATGGGTTATTTAAATATCCTTTATGAAGCAAATCATTTAATACTTTTATCTGTCTCAGCCACATGCTGCCATAGCAGAGGAGAAAAACAAAGTCTTTTCTGTATCATGCTCCTCCATTTCTTCTTAAAGCCTACTATCTACATGGTATCCCGTCTACTTCCAAAGGCACCTTCCCCTTAACAACTAAAAGGACCTCATGGAGGTGATCGCGTTCTTTCTTTGATATCCAGCTGGGTAAATTAAACCCCTCATTGGCAAGGTCAGAAAATATTATGGCTTGTACTAGAAACTTCTGGATACCTTAAAGTGCAGTACTAGGAGCTAATTTTACAGATACCGTTATAGCTGACCTGTTGGACCAACATGAGCAAAGTACTTTCTTTTAAGGTCTATGACTCCCAAGTGTTAAGCAGAAGGTTGATTTTTTCCGCACATTTAACACTCTGTTTTTATAAAATGAATGGGGAGCTAATTCAAGGCAGTTTCTTTTGCAGAGGAAGAAATGAAATAGGCCACACAGTGTAACCAATCTTAAAGATTACCAAATGTGGCTTAACCAATGGGTCTTTTAAAACACTGCTAGTTCAGTAGTGCACAATATCACAATAAGAATGATGATCTGACTCATGAAACATGCTTAGCTCAACTGCTCATGGGAAACCGTGAGTCATGTGATCAGCCTTTTTGCAAATACATAGAGGTGTGAACAATGTATGAATACTGGGTGCTCAGTAACCGCAATTTTAAGGTACTTTACAAAGGAACACTCAAACACTCTTTTGTGCCACTGAAAATGAGTCAGTTGTAAAGGATACACACAAATAAAAATAATTGGGCGTATTTATTGTTTTAGTGGATGTTCTTCTCCAACCCTTTAAACAGAAACATCTCTCTTATTTCCTACAGTATGTCAATCTTCTAAACTAGCATGAAGAACTATCTAGAGCCTCACACCAACTCCACTGAGTTGACTGGAAGATATACAAAAACAATATTTAGTGGACTAAAACTTTATTTGGTTCCATCATTTGAGGAATACGAATCATATATATACTTAAGTAAGAAAAAGAAAGAAAAAGAAAGGAAATTTCTGAAACTCAGAATTTGGAGAAAATAATTCTACCTCTTCCGCCAGAAGATTCTGGAATAGCTATTTATAAAACAAACAAATTTGTGTTGCTGTTGTTCAGAATATTTCCGAAAGTCCTCTTATTAACAAGAAACATATCTGAATGCAAAGAAATTAAGTAAAAACCACTACCTAACTCTGAACTTGAACTTTATTCTTTTCTTTCAAAACAATTTAGCCTTATAGCAAAGGCATGATTCTACTACATCTCTCTGATGTGGCTTTAAAATGAAAGTCAAAACATTAATGCAAAACTCACATGAAAGACTTAGACTAGCAGGCAAAGTTATCCCATGTATTTGCAGTCCTCACCTGGCCTGGACTTTTGAGAACATTTGCCACTGTTTTCTCTCTTCCATGAGGAAGAACAGAGCACCAAGAGAAAGCCATTTACGAAGTCACTGCTGGTCCACTACCATTTGGCACTTTACATATAGAATAATCCTAGACATGACATGAATGGCACACTGCAGGACTTACTCGCGAATCTCCCAAACAACTCCATGGATCACTGTTATGCACAGCCATTATGTGGTCTTAACTCCTTACATCTCTTTCAAATAAATCCTTCCAAGGTTTGTGCAACTCCTCATACACTCAAGACTTCTTTCAACGAGTAACATGATCTACCTGGGGAACTTCTAAAAACGGTCTTCATGTTATGAGGGTAGGCACTACTTATTGTCAAGTTAATGTATTTCATAGGTAATCTAGAAATATGGTTTGGACTGTAAGCATGATAATGTAAATAGATTTTCTCCATTCAGGTAATTCTGTGTGTGTTCAAGATGTGAGGAGAGGCATGATAATTTTAGTACCCAAACCTGTCTTCTAGCTACCTCTATATGTCTTTAAACACATTAGTGCTAAAATGAGGGTGGAAAAAATGAAATGGCCACATTTAAAATTCTGCCTCCAAACATCAAATGCAATTATACCTTTAAAGGTTGTGTTATATACAATTGTACTATAACTTATGTGTTTCACAGTTTTGCAAAAAATAAAATAAAATAAATAAAACATTACAGAACAGATTATAAAGTGGGCCAGCAACTAAGGTGTTTTAAATTAACTTTTGTCCTGAATAGGTTTTTGTTCTCCCTAAGTCCCACATTTGGCTGTACAACCGATTTTGAAGAGAAATCCAGTTCTTGATATGTGTGTGGCTTTGTTTTGTTTTAGTTCACATAATAAAGCCAATAGACAATATTGAAGAAGGAAAAAACAACAGGGAAGAATATGCGGGACCATCGATCTATGGCATTTACATCAGTCAAGTCAGGGATGGTAATTTTCAACTGAGAAGCACGTCTCCGTAGTCGGCTTTTCTTTTGTGCCACATGCCGCTCCAGGGCATTACGGCCAAAGCTGTGTCTTGGTAAGCCAGCCTTCCGGTACTGGATACTTGAGGCATCGTAGGCCAGCATAGTGCTTCTAGGGTCCCCAAGACCTATAACAGCTTCAGAGGCTGCCATCTCATTTTTAATTTCAAGGGTACTCAACAGAATGTTTTCATGCGGATCCATCTGGAAAACACAAGAGATTATTTTAGTTGTGCAGTAAAATATTAAAGCCAACTGCATATTAAGCCAGGCCTAAGATATCCAACTCAGTGAAAAATGGCATACACTGATTTCGTTGGGAACCCTGCATTTTGTAGGCAGGGGCAAACAGATTGCATGGCACCGTCAGTAGCCACATGCTTGTCTGGCAGGTGTCTTGGACATTTGTGGCACTGCCGCTACAGGCTTGCATGAAGTGCTGCACCTTGCAGGCCTCACATTTCTGTTCTGACAAGACTTACCCACATGCACGAGCAGACAGCGCTCAAAGAAGCTGCACGATTAGAATACATACTGGGCATGATTTCTGGGCACTGTCCTGCTTTTTCCAAGATGCCTGTATAGGCATCCTCACAGTCCATTGTTTCCATGCAGTACTATCTCTACTAGAAGCAACTTTAAAACTCTGATTTTATGGTAATTCATATTTTGATGTAACGATCAGAAAGTTTCTGTTATCAGAGCCAGAGCCAGAGCAAACTGACAATTTTTTTACAGCTCTGCTGGGACCTCTTTTAAGTTGCAGTGCTTGGAATAATGGTTGTCACTTTGGAAACAATCCTGGGGCATCTCATCAGAACAGAAGATTGACCTCGCATCAGGCTGTACTTCAGAGGCAAGACTAACCAGGCATTCATTTCAGAGTATAGCCACTTTAAATGTTAGCACAGTCTTTGGGACATTATTATTATTTTGTTTAAGGCAAGAGGGTAATAGGATTTTAAAAATATTATGTTGAATTTCTGGTATTAAGCAAAGAGAAGGTAACCAATTAAAGTCATGCAGAATTCTTGTTATTTGCCTATAAATGAAGGGTATCCTTTCTTACAAGTAAGTTTCTCTTCAGAAAAGTAGCTATTTCTTCTTTGGGACATCCATTTTGATGGACAGAAATAACTGTCAATCTTTTATTTTAAAGGAAATCCTATTTTTTCATATTATTTCATCATTTCTTTATGGCTATCTGATTGGAAAGGTAAATTTAACATTCATATTAATGCTAAATATTGTGTTGACACATTATCTACAAGTTCTGCATATTTTCTTTGAAGGTAATCTGAAATTTAGCAGTTTTTTATATTCCCTGCAAATTTTGAATCAAGTGACATCTTTGTTTGGCCTGACTTATAATGTTGCAGTGTCAATTTCTACTACACAAACAGTCTTATGCATAAGCTCAGTGTAAACTGATTTCCAGTCCAACAATTCCTGGCATGCACACACAGGATACATGGTATCTCTGCCCCTCAACCCTGGAATCCTCCCTCCACTTCAGTACTGGAGATACCTTCACTTTAGAAGTTCAAGCCCTCTGAATTTCAACTGATTTTACAGGGCTTGGGGAATTTTCATTCCAATGAAAAGGCAAGTACCAAGCATTCTGCTGAGAAAGAATTTGCTTATGAGCGGGGAATTCTCAAAACACCGACATAGCCCTTTCCTTTCTTTCTTTTTTAACTCCAATGTATACATGGAGGAAAAATCAAGACAGCAAGAAATGTGAACAAGACATTTAGCTGGTGCTCTGTCTCTTGGTCAAACAATGCACTGGTGTGATATGGAGGCACCGATTTCCCATTCTTGCTAAGGAGATCCCCAACAGAAGCATAGTATTTGCTGGAAAAGAACTATAGCTGGGAGACTGCCAGTGGAACTGGATGCTGTCTGTCTTTGCTGCGTTTCCTCCTCTCCATTCTGGTGTAACTAGTTTTACAGACGCTCTTTTTAAAAGGCAACTTGAGCTTTGAAAATTTAACAGGGCTTCTAACAGTCGATAAAAGGGGAACGCATGTGTGTCCTAGCAGCAGTTCCTTGGATCTTAATAACAGTGGCATCATAATTGCAGAGTCCGCAAGTCACAGTGAACCTCATGGAAGTAACTCAGGCATATTCAAACAAGCATCAGTAGTGAGTGAGTTGAGCACTGTAACCAAGTGAGGCTGCAATCCTATGCTCATTTACCTGGAAGTTGGCTTCACTGACAGCAATGTCAGTGATTTATGAGTAGTCACGTAGAGGACTGTTTAAAAATTATTATTGATGCGGCAAAATGTTAGTTTTTAAATAACTGGATTTAATTTTGCAGATTGAGCAAATATCATGGTTCACTATAATACTGTATTAAATTTACAAGATGTCACATAATTTTTAAAGTAATGATTTTTTGATGACTGAATAGCTCTGAAGCGTGTGCTGTTAGCCTACGTAGGATTTCACCCCTTAATTTCAGGACATTTAGTTTTAACAAGATGAAATTTGGTTAAAGTTATTTAAATTCTGCTTTCAAATGGAAGTGATAAGTATCTTCTAAGTTAGATATTGTCTGAAATTCCCATATGCATTCTTTCTGAATACATGGAATCCAATTGTAATTTAACATCTTTTCCATGTTCAGATGAGAGCATACACACACACACAAACACAGGAATTTATCATTCCCGATACATAGGATATATTTGGGCTTTTAGAGTCTGATCCAGAATAAACATAAATCTGATCAGAATGCCTGGAAAAGATCATCTACCACTTTCTATGAAACAAACAGATCAATACCCAAGCATATTGTTTCTGCAATCTCATAACAAACATTTACATGTGCATAGCTATTTCATTTTTTTTAAGACACTACAAGTCCATCCCTGAACTCCAAAATTAACCAGCCAATCCCAAACAGGGGCAAACAGGCAGGGGCATTATTATTTTTTTTCCACAACAGACAATTGCTTATTTCAACATGTATTTCATGGCACCAAGCGTTAAAGAATTCACTATTTGAATTCTTTAAATTTCAACATCTTTAAAAAGCCGTATAAAAGGAAGGAGGTTAGTCTTGTGACACAACTGTGAAACAAAGAGCATTTTCAATTACATCTGAGGGTATAAAACATGAACATTGGTTAATCCTAGGGGAGGGTGGGGAGGCTGGATGGGGTGAATCACACAAGCAGGGTAGCAAAGCTTTTTGAAAGTTTCATTTTCCATTTCCAGTCAAAGCCCAGACCTGAGAAATTAAACCAGCATTCAGCCTTCTGCACACTTCATTGCAAAGGGACCTGTGCAGCTTGGCCAGAAAGAAATTTAAATTTGTTCAAATGTTTAAGCAAGTATATATATGTATAATATATACTCCCATAAGATGATCTTTAGAGAATATTGCGTGTGATTGGTAGAAGCACAGAAGCAAAAGGCCCAATAACCAGATAGATCGAGTTCTGATGTGGCGAGCTTTAGAGTCTTCACGGCTGCTTCAAAGATATCAGTACAAAGATCAGGCATCACAATGTGAATAGCTCAACCAGTGGCCACATGCGCAAAGGATTTAGTAGGAAAGGAAAATAGTTTTCAACACAGACGCCATTTAGTACCATTGAAATCTATCTAGATCTATCTATATGTAATATCTATATATCTACTGATATATAGATATGTGTTCTTATATGCAGATTTTTGTTATGGTCAGACACTTGTTTGATAACACCAGTTTGAGAATGCTGGAGGTCTCTTTTACAAAGAGACATTGGAAATTATTTGATAGCACTACATTAGTAATGGGTGAACCTCCAATTGTCTTATTGTAAGCTAAACAGGAAGAAACTGTATGCTTTTTCATAAAAAACCAGTTTTCCTTGGATGCAAATGGCCCAGCATCTCACTTCCAAAATAATAAGTGCATATGGTTCAGATATACCAAATTATTAAAAAAAGAATTCAGAATTGCCCTAAAATTTGGACACAAAGAAATGATTCTGTTTTAGGTGAGGAAGGTATCTTGGATCAGCATTGCAATCACATAGGTTCACCCATCCCTAATAGGGTTGTATGCTTGTGACTAAAGAAAAGGCTTACAACAGTCAAACACGTTCATTCTGCAGGGCGCCTTTCATCCACAAGGATCCCACAGCGCTTTACAGACTTTAGAAAGCAACATCACTTCACCAACAAGTGCAGTCACCTCTCAGGCAAAATGTGGTGGCTATCTAACATCGCCAAACAACACACTATATTTTGGTAGAGGAAATGAAGAATGCTGTAGCCAATTAAAACTATGCAGTGGGTTGGTGGGTGAGTGGTTGGGATGGCTTGGAGGTAGAAGGCAATTCATAATATAACCAAATGCAGACAGGATCATGGCATTAAGATTTCCAGGTCTTGTAAAAAGTGCCATGGGATCTTTAATGACCATGAATGTCCAAGATCTCAGTTTTAAGGCTCTAAGGACACAATTCTATGCATGTTCAGACAGAAAAAAGTCCTACAAGTACCAGCAATCCCCAGCTAGCCATGCTGGCTGGGGAATGCTGGGAGATATAGGATTTTTCTCCCTGTCCAGACATGCATAGGATTACGCCTTAGGAGAAAATCATTAGAAAACAATAAAATATACCTTTGTTGAATACATTTCTGGACAATGATATGTGCCAATTATTCTTCTGTCCTGTAAGTTAATAAAATCAAGACCGGTTTCCTTAGAGAAAAGGCAGCTGTTAGCTTTCATTTAAAAAGTTAGTGCACTACAGGTGATTACTACAAAATATTCAGCACTTCAATTAAATGGACAGGGCACTTTGAGCCAACAATCAGCAGAAGGATAACCTTAGCTTAGAAGTGCTATTGTTGACACTGCAGACAATACACATTTGTGATGGAAATGTATTTACATCTGTATTTTCAAAACTTGTCATTTTTGACCAGAAAGCAACCATGGCATATAAAATTATTCTGGACAAGGTGAAACAACATATGGATTTAAAAGCTGGTGGAAAGGAGTTAAAAACAAACTTTCTATATGCTGAAGTGTTATTCAGTCACAGAGCAGGACTCTTGATGGTGCAAGACACACACTTTGGATAGAAGAGAGAGAAACTGCACAGGGAAGGAACGTTGGAAGGAAAATATGTAAAAGGGGGGAAAAAAATAACAAGTAGCCATGAAAGGAAAAGATGACTGTTTTAAAATACTTACAC